CTATGCGTGCCAGGGTCGTCCAGGCATAGCAGGCGTGGCATTTTCTCGACATCAGAGGGGGTGCGCAGGGGGTGGTCCCCCTATGCGTGCCAGGGTCGTCCAGGCATAGCAGGCGTGGCATTTTCTCGACACCAGAGGGGGTGCGCAGGGGGTGGTCTCCCTATGCGCGCCAGGGTCGTCCAGGCATAGCAGGCGTGGCATTTTCTCGACACCAGAGGGGGTGCGCAGGGGGTGGTCTCCCTATGCGCGCCAGGGTCGTCCACTCATAGCAGGCGTGGCATTTTCTCGACACCTGAGGAGGTGCGCAGGGGGTGGTCGCCCTACGCGTGCCAGGGTCGTCCAGGCATAGCAGGCGTGGCATTTCCTTGACACCAGAGGGGTGTGTCGCAGGGGGGTGGGTCTCCCGCGCCCACGTGCAGGGGTCGTTCCAGGCCATAGCAGGCGCGCATTTTCTCGTACACCCGAGGGGGGGCGCAGGGGTGGTACTCCCTATGAGTGCCAGGGTCGTACAGGAATGCGGGCGTGGGCATTTTCTGCGACACCAGAGAGTGTGGTGCGCACCGGGGGTGGTCCCACCCTATGCGTGCCAGAGGTCGTCCAGGCATTGAGGCGTGCTTTCTCGACACCAGAGGGGGTGCGCAGGGGGTGGTCTCAAGTGTCGTCCAGGCATAGCAGGCGGGGCATTTTCTCGACACCTGAGGGGGTGCGCAGGGGGTGGTCTCCCTATGCGTGCCAGGGTCGTCGAGGCATTGCAGGCGTGGCATTTTCTCGACACCAGAGGGCGTGCGCAGGGGGTGGTCTCCCTATGCGTGCCAGGGTCGTCCAGGCATTGCAGGCGTGGCATTTTCTCGACACCAGAGGGGGTGCGCAGGGGGGGGTCTCCCTATGCGTGCCAGGGTCATCCAGGCATTGCAGGCGTGGCATTTTCTCGACACCAGAGGGGGTGCGCAGGGGGTGGTCTCCCTATGCGTGCCAGGGTCGTCCAGGCATAGCCTCTAGTGCGAGATTGCGTATTACCTCTCGTATCCATGTGCCAGGCGACGCCGGATATGACCGTCACAGATGACTCCTCAACCCCTCCTCTCCCCCCACACGTCCTCCCCCTCCTTTCAACGACCACAGGGGGCACCTGAGAGCATGACGGCGGTGGTAGTGGTAGCGCGGTTCACACAACACATAAAATCAGTATGTAGGGTTCCTCGGTAGCGTAATTTTGTGAGGGCGCAAGGTCGCTGGCTTAGTGTCTTGGAGCCCTGTTGGTGTCAAGACTTCGGTACGACATAGCAAAAAATCTAGCAACCAACCTTGCGAAAATCAATATAAAGATTGTATTTTCGGGCCTTCCTGGGGGTCCTTTTGGGGTTCTTGTGGGCCGTCTTGGGGCCCTTTTGGGCTGTCCCAGGACCCTCTTGGACCGTCTTGGCGGGCTTGGGCCGTCTTGGGGCCCTCTGGGGGCCCTCCTGAGTCCCCTTGGGGACCTCCTGTGGCCCTCTTGGGGCTCTCTTGCGAACTTTTTGGGATCCTCAGGGGCCTCCCTTGGGCCGTTTTGGGGCTCTCTTGGGCCGTCTTGACGCCCACTTCCTGGGCCGGCACGGGAACGGAAAGAGCGCTGCAGGAACTTGCCCGAGATGGCTCTTGGCACCCTTCGCTCTTGGGAGCCTTGGCGTTAAGAGCTTGTTGCGTCACCGCTCTCTGTTGGGAGCCCTGGTGTTCACAGAATGTTACGTTGCCACTCGCTCTTGGGTGCCTTGCTGTTAAGAGCTGTTTACATCACCGCGCTCTGTGGAGCCTTGGCGTTCAGAGCTTGTTGCGTCACCGCTCGCTGTTGGGAGCCTTGGTGTTCTTTGGCGTCTCTGGGGCTTCTTCGGAATATTTGTTGGGCCCATTGGGGCCGTTTGGGGACTCTTGGGCCGTCTTTGGGCCAGCCCAGTCCCCACACCCAAGCAGCCCAGTCCCCATACCGCCTCTTCGGGCCCTCTTGGGAGCCTCTTGGGGCCCTCTTGGGGCTGTCTTGGGACCGTCATGGGACCCTCTTAGGCCGTCTGGGAGCCTTTCTTGGCCTGTTTTCGGCCCCTTTGGGGTACCTCTGGGGCCGTCTTGGGACGATCTTTGGGGCCTCTTGGGCCGTCTTGGGCCCGTCTGGGGGCCCTCTTGGATCGTTTTCGGCCCCTTTGGGGCGCCTCTGGGGCCGTCTTGGGACGAGCTCTGGGACCTCTTGGGCCGTCTGGTGCCCTTCTGGGCCCGAAAAGGGGAGAACCCGAAAAACCTTCAAAAACCAAAAGATAATCCATGTTTTTGGCCTCCTCAGCTCGGGGGCCCTCTTGAGGGCCTCTGGAGCCGTCTCGAGGCTCTCTTGGACCGTCTGGAGGCCACCTGAAGCTCTCTTGGGGCCGTATTGGGGCCCTCCAGGGCCGTTTTGGGGCCCTCTTGGCGGTACTGGGGCCCCCTGGCCGCTTCACTTGAAAATGCGAAGAAACTGGCCATGGGAGCCGCCCCAGGGCCGCTCCATTCGAACAAATACGTGGGAAGCGGTCCCCGGGCGGCCACTACCACCCATCCTCCCGGCCCTCGACCCTCCCCTGGACCCCTCCTTAAACGGCTTCGCCCAAACTCAACTTCTTTCGCTCGTACCTTGCTCTTTCCGTCACCTGCTTAGCGTAGGGACCGAAAGCGCGGGTTCTTTCTATGAGGGCGCGATGTCGCTGGCTAGTGCATTGGAGCCTTGCTGGTATGAAGGCTTCGGTACGACATAGAATAATTTACCACAAAGTCTTGTGAAAATCAATGAATATTGCATTTCTGGGCCGGGCCTTCCTCGGGGTCCTTTTGGGGCTCTTGTGGGCCGTCTTGGGGCCCACTTGGGCCGTCCTGGGACCCTCTTGGGCCGTCTTAGCGGGCTTGGGCCGTCTTGGGGCTCTCTGGTGGCGCTCTTGGGGACCTCCTGTGGCCTCCTGTGGCAATCTTGGGGCTCTCTTGGGAACCTTTCGGGACCCTCTGGGGCCCGTCTTGGGCCATCCTGGAGCTCTCTTGGGCCGTCTTGGAGCCCCTTGGGCCGTCTTGGAGCGCTCTTCGGGGACTCTCAGGCCGTCCTGGGGCGGTCTTGGGAGCCTCTTGGGCCGTCTTGGACACTATGACGACCAAAGAAGCTAATATATCTCAAATGTATGTTTTCCGAAGGGAATGGGGCGATGTTTTGCCTCTTGGGGGTCCCCTTGGGGGCCTCCTGCGACGTCTTGGGGGCCTCTTGCGCCGTCTTGAAGCCATATTGGGCCCTCTTGGAGCGCTCATGGACCGTCTTCGGGCCCTCTTGGACCTCTCCAACGCCGTCTTGGAGGTAGCTTGGGCGCTCCTGGGGCTGTCTTGGGCCGTCTTGGGGGCCTCTGAGGCGCTTGGGCCGTCTTGGGACAAAAATTGACAAAATTAGCGCTGTTAGATCTGGAGCTGGGGCTGTCTACCCCCCCACCCGCCCTTGTTACTTCTGCCGAATAACGGATCGCAACGCTACGCGCGCTTTCTGTCATCCGCCGCCCCCTGTTGATTCATCACAGGGGTGCCTGGCGTGCTAGACCCACTGGTTTTGTTTTGGTTCTTCTATAAGAACTCCCCCCCAGGCCTCCGGTCCGTGCCGCTGGCCTCCCAGAAAAAATGGTTGCCGTGCCTCCCCAACGGCCGTCTCGCTAGGGACATCCTCAAAAAATCGCGATCTCGGGGTCGAGATGGCCCAAGATGGCCTCCAAGACGGCCAAAGAGGGTCCAAGATGGCTCCGAATCCGCCCAAGAAGCCTCCAAGATGGCCCAAGACAGCCCAAGAGCCCCCAAGAGGCGTCCAAGACGGCCCAAGAGGCCTCTAAGAGGTACTCCAGGACCAAGACGGCCAAGACAGCCTCCAAGTTCGACCCAGAGGGTCTGAGATGGCCTCCAAGACGACCCAAGAGAGTCCAAGATGCCTCCAAGTTCGCCCAAGAAGCCTCCAAGACGGCCCAAGACGGTCCCAAAGGCCTCCAAGAGGCCTCCAAGACGGCCCAAGAGGCCTCCAAGAGGTTCTCAAGGAGGGCCCTGAGAGGCCAAAATCATTGATTTCCCTGTGATTTCCGAAGGATTTTGGCATTTGCTTCTTTCCGGCCTTCCGACTGCACCAGACGGCCCAAGAGGCCCCCAAGATCGCCCCACGATGGCCCCAAAGGCCCCCAAGATGAACCCATGACGGCCCAAGAAGCCTCCAAGACGGCCCAAGACTCCACGACGCCCAACATGGCCTCCAAGACGGCCTCGAGTTGGTTCAGAGAGGCATCCAAGACTGCTTCCGACGGCGTCAGACGGGCCAAGAACGCTGCAAGAGGCCCCCAAGAAGCCCCCAAAGGCCCCCGAGATGCCCAAGGAGGCTCCCAAGAGGCCTGCAGAAGGCTCCCAGGAAGCTCCCAGGAGGCCCCAAAGGTGTCCCAACAGGCTCCCAAGAGGCTTCCTCCTCCTCCTCCTCCTCCTCCTTCTCCTCCTCCTCCTCTATAGTTCTCCTCCTTCTCCTCCGCCTCGTCATTCTCCCCTACGCGTTCCCCGAAGGGTTCCACAACGGCTGTGGGAACACATGGTCCAATAGCTTGGCAGAGCTCTGGCCACGACGTCTGGCCACATGGGCGATTCCAAAGGCAGGGGACGGCGGTGATTCGCCGTAGGCGTCTTCGATATAACAAACTACAGGTACAAATCCCATTGCGTTGACGCCGTCCGACACTGCCTTCGGAGCCAAGGTCTCCCAACAAGGTCCGGCAGGAAGGTATACCGGCCCCAGACGGTTCGCCCTACGGGACAACCTCTGCGACCAGGGAACCCCAAGGGATCGGTGGGCGGCGCACGTCCAAAAATCGTACTCGTGTGCGGCGTGAGCCCCAAGCATGGCTGGATCTGGAAGCCAGGACCCCAAAACCTTGACGCCTCACTCCTGCATGCTCCGTCACCAGCCGCAGACCTCCCTTCCTGTTTGATCGCCACTCCCATTGCCCAAGAAATTTCTCGCAGGGGCGTCAGAACAACCGCTCGAAACTGCGCGGCGCGACCCGAATTCGGCCGGTGCCCGCAGGGAGGGCGGGCATGGGGCGACCGGGGAGCTGCGCCCCGTACCCCGCTCCCGCGCACCCCCACCTCGGCAGGGGCGGCACATGCAGTGGCGGCCCTCGGCCCCCGTGGTGCAGAGGGGCGTTCGAGCGAACTCACTCTGGCGCGGCCCAGGAATCTAGCCTCAGCTCACTGCCTCCTCCGCCTCCTCCTCCTCCGCCTCCTCCTCCGCCTCCTCCTCCTCCTCCTCCTTCTTCTCCTCCGCACCTCCTCCTCTGGGGGAGCGTCCTCTTCCTCGCCTCCTCAGTCCGCCTCCTCCTACATATCCCCTCTCCTCCTCCTCTCCGCCTCCGCCTTCCTCCTCCGCCTGATCCTCCTCCTCCTCCTCCTCCTCCTCCTCCTCCTCCTCCGCCTCCTCCGCCTCCTCCTCATCATCATATTCCTCCTCCTCCTCATATTATTCGTCCTCCTCCTCCTCCTCCTCCCCCCAGAAACCTGGCCTCAGCTCACCGAGGTCCAAAACTGAAACGCTGCTCTGGCTGCGCTTGCCTGCCAGCAGGGGCGGACCGCCGGCCTTCCGCCGGTTTCCGCCAGCGGGCCCGCCGCCGTGCTGCTCCCGCTGGCCTCCGCCCCGACGGCGAGGCGCGCCTTTTGAAAGGCGAGGCCCTGCCCCTGGGAGCGCCCCGCACGAGGACGCCCTCTGCACCTCGGATTCGTGCCTGCTCTGGTTGGGCGTGGACAATTGGGCACCAGCACCGAGACAGGAGGCTGCCTCCGCCAGGGGAAGAGGATCCCAGATTCTGGTGCCAGTGGTAATCTCTCGGCCACCCAGGAAGCCAGAATATCACCACCAGCACCGAGGCCGGGGTCATCCTCCCACGGCGGAGGCACACCACCGATGCTCGTGTTGGCGTCACCCTCGGGGCCTCCGATGCTCTGGCCCCGCTCGGGAGGCCCAGGGCCTCGCGGTCGGCACCGCTCGGCGGAGCCTCGGCGAGCACGCCCGAGCTGAAACGCGGGCGGCTCGGGCCCGCGGCTCAGCGGTACTCCTGGCGCGTCTCCACCGGAGTGGCCCCTTTCTCGAGCAGGGGATCGTCTACAAAATCCATGTACCCCCCCGAATTGGTCTTCTCGTCCAGTCATACGTTGAGCGTTCGTCGATCCACAACCACTCCACGCATCTTTCATGGACTCGGCGAATCAATCCTCTGGGGTGAATCAATTCTTTAGACTAACCCCCAGTGAGCGTTTCCTTATTCGGCGTTTCGACATTGGGAGGAAGGGGAGGAGGGGGAGGGGTCTGGCTCCGGACCCTGTTTGGAATCGTGCGTCCTGTGGGGGAGACCCCACCTGCTCGAAGCAGGCGCCCAACACAGCCAAGATCTACCCCATGAGGGGGGGTGAGACAAGGGGGGGGGGTGCGAAGGCCCGCGCCGATCGGCAAAGCAATCAACAGGAAAACGATCCCCTGTTCGACTCTCCAGAGCGCGCCGACCACACGCCTGCACCGGCCCTGGCCGGGCCCGCCCTGCAGGCCCCAGGGCCGGCTGGTGCGCGCTCCTCCCGCCCAAGGCCGGCGAGGCGCAGACCAGCCGGCCCTGGGCCGAAGAGGTGCGCCCTGGCCGGGTTCGCGGCGCGGGCGCGCGAAGTCGGCGCTCTCCCGCCTCCCAGCTCGCAGTCCGTCTGCCGCGTGGTCGAGGGCCGGGCGTCGCCAGAAGTGTCCCTGGCCAGAGGCGTCCCCAAGACTTCCAGGGAGGCCCCCGCGGCCTCCAGGGTGCACGCCGGTCGGAGGGAGCAGGGAAAAGCATGAAGTAGGAAGGCGGATAAAGTAGTTTGGGTGAAGGCCCTGACAGAGAAGAACAGAACACAGCAGAAGCACATCGGTTCTTGAAGCAAGAAGGCGTTTGAAGTAGATGGGGATCTGGGAATCCAAAAATGCCCTACACGAGGCCCGGAGGGCCCTGGAGGCTCCCAAAAGCGGAGCGACAAGCTGGGGGGGGCACCTCGGGCCAGGGACTCAGTTGGCAATCCCCGAGAGGAGCGCGGGGTCAGGCAGGTGACCGTCGAGTCGGGCGCACTGGGGCCGCCGCACTGCGGCTGCGCCGCCGCGCGCAGCGCAGGCTGCGGGGCACCGCGCGGCGCCGGCGAGAGGTCCAGGGTGCACCCTTGCTGCAGCGCGAAGCTTCTCGCCTCCCCGTCTCCAGGAGAGGAGAAGAACAAGGAGGAGGAGGAGGAGGAGGAGGAGGAGGAGGAGGAGGGGGAGGAGGAGGGGGAGGAGGAGAAGAGGAAAGGAGGAGGAGGAGGAGGAGGAGGGAGGGAGGGAGGGAGGGGGGGACGGAGGGAGGGAGGGAGGGCCGAGGAGTCAGGGCCCAGGGGGGAGCGAGGGCCGTGGCCGAGTATCCAGGCTTTTGGGCGCTCCTGGTCCTCCAGAGTCCTCTGGGGGCCTCGGGAGGCCGTCCTGCGCCTCGCATGGGTTCATCTGGCATCGCAGCGCTGCACTTCCCTCATCCTCGCTCGATGCACGTCCACCCTCCTCCTCCTCCTCTTCCTCCTCCTCCTCCTCCTCCTCGATGGAGGTATATGTCCGGGCGCGCATCGCCTGATGCGGGTGTGCAGAATCTCTTCCCGGGGGTCGGTGACACTCTGCTGCTCTTGGTCCTCCTGCTGGTTATGCTCAGCGGTCGGTGGCGCTACGTTTGCCGTCACCGCCGCCAATGTTGGGGCCATTCGGGGCCTCATGTGCGGTCTGGTCGAATTCCGCTGTGCTGTCACTTGGTGACGGAGGGGGCTCTGCGCGCCGTTTCCAGCCGTGCTGCAGGCTTTGCTGGGCGGCCTGCTTGGAGGTCGGTCACGATGTTGGCTGCGCTGATCCCGTCGCCCGTGCTGGCTTGTGGGTGCTCCTTCGGTGCGTTGTGCGTCACTGTGGTTGAGGCAGTGACCTCTCTAGCCCTGCGGGGCGGTGCCTTCGTGGGTGGAATGTGCAGGGCGTGATGCTTGGCGGCACCGGTGGTGCAATATGGTTTCACATCATCTCTCGAGTGTCCACGGGTGTCGGGCCCAATCGCCTGGCAGCGGATAATCTTGGGAGCTGGTGCGTGTGTGTGTGTGTGTGTGGTGTGTCTGTGTGTGTCTGTGTGTGTGTCTGTGTGTGCGTCTGTCAGTGTGCTAATCAGGATAGCTGGCGGTGTTTAGCACCATGGGGGGTCGCTCCTGAGTGCCGATGGATGTCTTGGTTGTGTTTGCCTCGTGGATTCTGGGTTTGCGCCTAACCTGTAATGCATTGATTCGGAATGCGCATGCCTCTTGCGGAATGGGTGCGCTCTGTTTGGCTCGTTTCAAATTTCGAGTTGGCGCAGCGGGCACAGCAGGTTAGGTTAGAAAACATGTAAAAAAACGACTGGGAATTCTGAGACGAGGGCTTGACAGAGGTCTTTGATCATCTCCGTCAGAACGGGGAAGCAGCCCATCAGCTTCAAGTCTTTCGTGGAGCAGGTTGGGTGATGCTTCATTAACGCT